CTTGACAGAAATCCCCACCTCCTCTACGTGTATATTTAAAAATCGATTGATTTTCTCGCCCATTGTGGGTTTATTTGCCAAGTAGTATTAGTTGCCCCACAGAGAAGTTGCAATATGAGAAAAGGGGCGCAGAATACACACACACACAACCCATATACTTACACAGAGAGAGCGAGAGAGAGAGATCCACCTTACTATTTTAGGTTCCTTTTTTGATAGAGACTTTGTATTTCGAGAAAATGCTGTGACGGGACTTTATTTTCAACGATATTTTCATTGTAGACTCTCACCTCACTCCCGCCAACTCCACCCACTCCCCCCCTCTGACACACACGTCGAACTAAGATAGACTTGTGGAATCAAGTTTTTGCGGCTTCCTTCTGACATTTACACACACACACCACACACACACGCACACACACACACATTCCGGTCGAAATATTGCGTACAGAGGACTATTATTAACGTTACCGATGGGATCCAGCATTTTTTCAAAACAGACGCTATCGCTCTTGTGTTTTTCTCTCTCCCTCAATTCTAACAGATCGCTCACGGTACTTAGCTTTTCCGACAATAGTGGACTGCTTTCCTATCGAAACTACATCAGACTACACCAGATGCACACAGATTAATTCTTTGGATATGTAGATATGTCTCCACGAACTGTAGGCAGATTCTGCCTGCTCCCACAAACGGACCAATCGATGACCACACATAATCTCTGACTATCGGTGGGGTCTCACTTTCTCATGTCATCTTCGGTACTGACTAGACTTGTACAATTTCGCGTGCCCCTTGCTCGTGATGTACATCTTCATACGTCACACACCCGTCACGTGAACAATCTCTTCGACCACCTGTGCTACGTTCATACTCAAGTGCCAATAATTTCAGAGTGTATTTTAACATTTCTCGCGTACGACTACCCTTCTCTACCCTTCGCATACTCACACACACACACACACATATTGAACCAATCAACCTCTCTGCAAGTAGTGATACTTTGCAATCGCAACCCCTCATTGATCTCTGTAGAATAGTTTTCCTCTGATGTCTACATGAACAACTAGTAGAAAGGCCAATAATTGTGTAGATTTGTCAACCAACCCTCCTCTTCCGCTTCTTGATGACCTACAGGCACAAAGCGCCCACCTCTGTCTTGGTCGATTTTTGTCACCCTCAATGCTCTTTCTTGATTCATCACCATTTTTTTTGAAGGACTGCACTGTTACGACTAAAACGGGAATACAATTTCAAACATGAACCTCCTCAGTTTTATTTTTGCTCAGGGGTTGATTTTGAAGGTAGCATGGAATGTGTTCAACATTCCAGTTCTTCGAACTCTGCAGTGGTCAAATGGTCACTGAAATTTGAAAACTTTGAAGTTTGAATCAGTTTTACCACATCAGCGTCTTGAAATGGCTGGAATCTGGAAAACCGAGTTCTGTTACCAATTGAGATTCCGTCTTGTAAATGAACTAAAACCATGCTGAGAAGCCAAGAAGCTCTGTCCATCTGCTTCATCCTCACTGCGAATCATCAGCACCTCACGAAGCCACAGAGTATCGGGAACAGACGATCTCCTGGTTAGTAATTCGAACGCTTGGTCGTTCAGCCATAGTATCTGATCAGCAGTGTGATTAAAGCGCACTCGGGTAATATATAGCGCCAGTTATCCCCCAATCACGGGATCCACATCACGTGGTCACATGTGTTGACCGACTGGCTAGTTGAGCAACGACAAATAAGTTCTTTGGCTCACTTACTGGAACAACGATGACGGACCACCGTCTTGTGAAGAGGTGACTGCTATCGCCGGTTTAAACCGAGTTGAACGAACCTTTGATTCAGAAACGATAGGTGACCTTAGCGAATCTGCACTCATTTGCAAACTAATTTGGTTTTTCGAGGGACCCAACCAAATCTCTCGTTTATGATGTTCTCAGGCAACTGAATGTGTTGCACCAGGTCGCCTCATGTTTCAGTCGCTACGTTATTCGAAATAACGCGATATATATATATATATATATATATATTTGTAATGCACTATCGCGATACCTCGACTGAAACATGAGGCGGCCTGGTGCAGCACATTCAGTTGCCTGAGAACATCACAAACGAGAGATTCAGTTGGGTCTCAGGTGAGTCTCTCGAAAAACCAAATTGGTTTGCAAATGAGTGTGTATTTGCTAATTTCGTGCAACTTGGTTTCCCGTAGAACATAAGGTTGATGGAAAACCCGGGGACTGCGCCTTCCTGATGAGCCCCGTAAAGGGTGAAACCGGTCGTGGACTGTTGACGGCAACCTTATAAGTAGTACATTACAAAGACAAGTGACCTTGATCTTTCTACAAAGTTCTACCCAGCCAACGGAGCAACGGACATTTGCCTCCTCTTCACTGGAGTTCATCGGATCCAAGAAGCAATGAATACTTTATGTTAAAAACTCCAGACAGTTAAACTACAATTGTGAGGAGTTCTGGAGAATATTTAGGTTTGCGAATTCCGGTTGTACTGATTGTGATCGATCGCTTCGCGTGCCACAAACCTGTAGGATAATTTCACGGCTATTTCACTCACTCATAATCATAGCTCTTGTGCCATCACATAGCCTCACCAGCACTGCGCATTTTTGAGTCTAGACTAGCAAATCAACGAAGTGTTCATGATTAAAAACCCAAAAACTCACTTGACTAGAGATGAACTCAGCTGACTTCACAACAGCAATTAGGTCACGGTCTTGGTCGCTGGCATCGTCAGGTAAATGTGGTGAATCGATTTTCCAGGAGTGCAAGGAATCACGTTGACTACAAACTGTTCAATCCCGATGAGTTTCCGAATAACTTGAAACCCCAAAGGAAAGTTGTACGGTTGTCCCGCCTCTTTAAAGAGACTACTCTCTGAGGAAAAAAACCCATAGGGGAACTCTTGGTAGCCTTTTAGGCTAGCTGCCAGTGGATCCAGGTTCGGTGTGCTCATTCTTTATCATATCATGCAGTCCATTTCCAAAATTAGTTGACGGTGTGAATGAATGCTCGGCAACTGACTGCAGATGCGTTGCCGGTCGTTTTGGAACACATTTGTGGACTCTGACCACGCGCTCGTCCGGAGTCGCTTCTCCCTACGTTTCCCGGGGTCGCGTAAGGTGCGGACGAATCGCATGACAACTGAAAGACTGACAGATCCGGATGTCAGACGAACTTAGAAGAATCGTCTTCTAGAGTCTCTTCCAAGTGCTCCACCATCAGATGTGAACTCATACTGGGACGAGATTGCTACCTCTTTGCATAGTGCTGGGAATTTTGCCTGTGGCACGACCC